ATGGACTTCAGGCCCAATTATATATTAGTAATGTCCATATTAATATATTTATAACAAAAATATGTTTTTGAATAGTGATTTGGAGATGTGTATATATGTAGAAAGAATTTTAGTGATTGGTGTTGAACTGAATGCATATAGATGTGGTCTCAATTTATTTCAATTTGTAACTAAAACATTATTTTTTTTCTTTTTAATTTTTCAGTTAGTTAAACTCATTTAGAAGCTACATTGGCAAAATAATTACGGGGGAGAGAACAACATTATAATTCTCCTATTTAATCTAAATCCGCTTTTTGAGCGCTAAATTTTAGGCCAACCGTTCAAGCCAAAGAAACAGTAGTCCACAAACAATCAAACTAGCCATACATTCATTATTTTCACAAAACAAGTACCGGTTTTTTTTTTTCCTAAAATTATTTTTTTTTACCAATTTGGTCATCCCTTGTCAATCTAGCTTCGGCAGTCCCACGGCGGACGACGATGGACCACCCACCTCCGGTCGCCCCTCCGCCGCCCTCCTCCTCCCCGGAGTCCTCCATCTCCACCATCGAGCCCCCGGCACCACCGCCACCCGGCAACCACCCCCGACTCCTCGAGATCAGCCTCATCTCGGCCCAAGACCTTGCGCCCGTCTCCAAGTCCTTGCAGACGTACGCGGTCGCGTGGATTGGGCCAACCCGAAAGCACACGACCCGAACTGACAACAAGGGCCACAAGAACCCCACGTGGAACGACAAGTTCGTCTTCAACGTGGAGGCCGAGGCCGAGGATGCTGTCCTCACGGTCGAGATCTATACCGTGTCATGGTTTCGAGACGTGCTCGTGGGTGTGGTCAAGGTCTTGGTCAACGACCTGGTCAACCCGACAGGCGGGGCCCGACCCAGGGGGACTCGGTTTGTGGCCCTTCAAATTCGGCGCCCATCTGGCAACCCACAGGGGATACTCAACATGGGGGTCGCCCTTCTCGACGCCACCATGAGGAGCATGCCCCTATCTGGGGTCCGTAATTATCACCACGAAAATGCTAAACAGGTTTTATATTATATGTGTGTGTGTGTATGTATTTCAGTGTTTTCGCCTAAAATCAACATACTTTTATTAAGTTCTAACATGTTCTGTTATGTTACAAAATATCATACTGTTATTATCATACTTCTTTTCCCCTTCACATAGGTCCATGATGACAATGTCGATGACGTCATCAACAAAGAACTAAACTCAAAAATCCACCTATGGCGGTCCTTAAGTGTTGGCAGTTCAGAGGTTGCCAACAATGATGACTTCCCATTAAAATCGGGCTCAATTTGTAATGGGTCGACTGTCGAGAATGGCTCTGAACTCTGCTCGGATATCGGGCCTTCAGCCTCCATCGTGGCAGCTGAAATGTCTCGAAAACTCCAACCGCAGCCTGAAAATATACCAAACCCTAGAAAGTATGAGCATGTTGACCACCACGAGACG